TCCCAGGTCTGCCCGCCTGCTGGGGAACTTATAAAATGGTCTCACTCCTCTATTAAACTTTTTAGGTGTCATGTAGAAATTAACTGGAAGAATGAGACACACATGAGGAAGCTGTTGATGTGAAATTTCCAAGAGCCATGAACAACTCCACCTACTATATTCCGCCAGTAGCTGAAATATAACTTTTGGGTGGACTGACCCTTTAATTTTTGCATGTTTAATGTTGTTTTTTCTATCCACTTAATGCTCTTAAATCTGCGTCTTGTGAAAGTAGATTTTTTTGATTTGTTTTGTTATCTGTCAACAAAAGTGATGGCTTATATGTTGATAAATCTTAAAGTAACCCTTTCTCGGCAGAAATATGGGAGCTGAAACTCCCTACTTCACTGTCTAAACACATTTGATGCTGTAATGAAAAGTAGACAAATAATCAAGTATGTAGATACATAGATGTATACTTCTATATGTTTTGTTAAGCATATATAGACCTTTAGGACTTGAGATTATGGACTCAAAAGATGGTGTATGGTAAAAGTTCTTCACATCCCCCTTACAGTGGGGAAAATAATTATTTGATCCCCTGCAGATTTTGTAAGTTTACCCACTTACAAAAACAAATGAAGGGTCTATAATTTTTATCATAGGTGTATTTTAAATGATAGAGACAGAATATCAACCAAAAATCCAGAAAAAAATACATGATACAAATGTTATAAATTGAGTTGCAGTTCAGTTAGTAAAATACGTATTTGATCCCCTACCTACTAACCAACAATAATTCTGGCTCCCACAGGCTGGCTGTGTACTCATGTAGTACACAGATTAGTCCTGACAATTTAAGAAGGTGCTCCTAACGACAACTCATTATGTGTATAAAAGACACCTGTCCACAGAATCTCTTTTTTCCATTCAAACCTACCATCATGGGCGAAGAGCTGTCAAAGGACATCAGGGACCAAACTGTAGACCTGCACAAGGCTGGAGTGGGCTACAAGACCATCAGCAAAAAGCTTGGTGAGAAGAAGACAACTGTTGGAGTGATTATTCGCAAATGGAAGAAACACAAAATAACCATCACTCGCCCTCAGTCTGGTGCTCCATGCAAGGTTTTGCCTCATGGGGTTAGGATGATCATGAGAAAAGTGAGGGATCAGCCCAGAACTACACGGGAGGAGCTTGTGAATGACCTCAACGTAGGTAAGACCACAGTCACCAAACAAACCATTGGTAACACAATACACCGCCATGGATTGAAATCCTGCAGCGCCCGCAAGGTCCCCCTCCTCAAGAAGGCACACTTACAGGCCTGTCTGAAGTTTACCAGTGAACATCTAAATGATTCAAAGAAGGATTGGGAGAAAGTGCTGTGGTTAGAGACCAAAATTGAGCTCTTTGGCCTTAACTCGACTTGCCGTGTTTGGAGGAAGAAAAATGCTGACTATGACCCTAAGAACACCATCCCTACAGTCAAGCACGGAAATGGAAACATTGTGCTTTGGGGCTGTTTCTGTGTTAAAGATACAGGCTGACTTTGCCGCATTGAGGGGCCAATGGATGGGGCCATGTATTGTAAAATCTTGGATGAGAACCTTCTTCCCTCAGACAGAACACTGAAGATGGGCCATGGATGGGTCTTCCAGCATGACAATGACTCAAAACATACTGCCAATCATTGTGCTCTCCTGACAGGGAGGGCTCCTTGTGCCCCCTGGCTGGGAGAACACAATAGCTCAGCGGGAGGGATTCCCCTTTCAACACTGACTGTGTTGATGGGGGAATCTAGTGATTTTCTTTCTTGCGACCCGTAGTTGAAGGAAAGAAAATGACATCATCTGTCACCTTCCTCAATTTCCTGAATAAAGTTCCACTTTAAAGTGAAGTTTCAGCTGAAAAAAAAAAAAATAAAAGACTTTTAAAAAGCAGGTACTTACCTGTCCCTCGTTCCAACGGTGTCCTGACCACCGCTGGTTTCTTCTCCCCCTGGCATCTTCAGTGTGGGCACCCGGCTGTGACAGCTTGCGGCTTCGTGGCCAGGTGCCCACTGTGCATGTGCGAGGAGCACTGTGCTTTGTGAATTTCCCCCGTAGTCTTATGGGACCTGTCACGTGTCCCAGAAGACTACGGGGAGGGAGGACAACTTCCGCTTCCAATCGCCTTAGGCAATCTTAGCGGAAGTGGGAGCGGGTACCTGTCAAATTCGGGTATCTGGCCCCAAAGGTGCCCTATAAGTCTACTATAAGTCCCATTATCCTTGGGTGATTACTTTTTTTTTTTTCTGCACTCTGTGTATAAATTTGTAAAAATGTGCTGAAAGGAGAATTTTGTAAATGTAAAATATACTTGTCAACTATGATCATTCCACCACATGCTTGAAAGTATGAAGCAGCAGCTATCAACCTACCCTTTAGGGATCGCTGCAACTGAAACCTGTGGAAGATGGTGTTTACGCTGTCTGATGACATCCTTGAGTGGAGCTGATGATGGACTTGTTGGGCTTTTCATTATCTCATCCATAGTACACATAGAAGGGTGACAACGCTGCTTCCCCATGTAGTGCATGCATATGCACCTATTAGGAAAAGTGGTTGGGAGAAGAGTTTTTAAAAAAAAAAAAATAAGAGGAGCAGCATGAAAGTAGTATAGAACAAGGGAAAATATTAGATATATTTATTTTTAGTATGAGGATTTAGATTCACTTTAACACAATTTTGTAGAATGAAAAAAAGTCTCAGCGTAGTACACTGCCATGTACAGGGCCTGGTTCATGTGTTGCAAGAAATCATGTAGACCTGCACAGAAAAAGTAAGTGCTTTTGCATTGATGGAGGTAGACTGGGTCTGTATTTGTCCATACATCCAAGTGAAGGGTACAATCTTACCTCCTCCTCTGTGCATTAAAAGACAGGCCTTTTAAACAGGGTTTTCTCCATCTGGATGTTAGCATTTTATGGTAGATAAAGGCTATATTTAGAAAAGTATATATGGACTATCATAAAGAAGAGATAACCCCCCTCTAGTCTTGTAAGGAGTCAACTTTCCATTGTTCTCTAGGGATGAATACACTTGTGCAGTAGAGCATAGCCTTCTAGATTAGAGAAGACAAGTTCCTGGCTTAGGAAAATGCCTTCAAGCACATATATTGCAAAATCTAAACATCGTTTGTAATGATTACCACATTGATATTTTGATTCAATTAATTTTGAATCTGTAGTTTTCTGACATAACAGGTTTATTTAATGGTTTTGTACTCAACCCATGTCAGCCTAAAGTTTAAAGAGATCTCATGACCCTCCTTCAGTCCGAAGTATCAGGGACTCTGGGGATTGGCTGCTCTGATACCTTACACTGCATCAAGAGAAGAGAAAGTCACATGCTCACCCATATCCAAGTAACCAGTAGTGGTGCATCGAAATGAAAATTCTGGACCGAAACTGAAAATTCAGGATGTACTTGGCCAAAAACCGAAATAGACAGTTTTTTTAAAAATATATATTTTTTACATATAATTGTATTCTATTCAACTTTTAATTAATATGAATTTAAAAAACACAATCTAGTAACGTAAAATAACTTTTATTGAAAGAAACACACAAAAATTGGACAGAAAATAAAATGAAAAAAATATATACATGTATGTATGTGTGTATAGTCAGTGGGACAGGATTTTGCCTTGAAGTCCATGGGACGGGATTTTGCATTGAAGTCAATAGGACGTGATTTTGCCTTGAAATCAATTATTATTATTGGCACCTTTTCTATCGGCAAAACGCCAATATCTCTATTTTCAGCTGCTGATATATCAGTGGATCACTAGTAACCAAAGCAATTTTCTACGAATATGGGAATTTTTCAGGTGCCTAATGCAATACATATACTATACTGTTAAAATTAATCTAAAAAGTCCCATATTCATAGAAAATTGCTTTTGTTACTAGTACCTCAAGGGATTTGGGTGCCTATCCAGGCAATTGTGGCAATATGTAAGGCAAGGGTGCTCAACTAGTGGCCCTCAGAGCTCTCTGATGTGGCCCTCGACCTTTAACTGAATGCAGGAGTTTTGGAGTGCTTTCAGAAAGTGCACCACACCCGCAAGATATATTAGAAGTCTATGGCAAAACGCAGCTAACCGGCAGGAGAGTTGCAGGTGCACTGCCCTGCACCTGCAGTTTGGGTAAATCGCAGTGCATCAGTGTGAAGGCGGCCTTTTTATAGGTGGCTCAGGACAGTAAGGGCTCAGGGCTTTACATTTGTGGTTTGGGGGTGGGTGTGATTTTTAACCACCACCCCAACCACTGGTGTAGCATGAGGGGTCGCAGTGGCGACTACCTGGCCCATGCTCCAGGGGACCCGTGTGGCCTCCTTGTCCTATTCTGTTTTACACTTGGACAGGAGGGGGATGGTGGGGGTGAGCAAATACAGGAACTGATCCTCTCCATTATTCCTCCTGCAGCTGCTGAAATCCATCTTCTCCACCTCTCCCTCCTGCCAGCATTCATCTGCTGCAGGCGAAATATGTTCATTATGCTATTCAAAATAAAAAATGTGAAATTCTGAAAAGTTTAATTTCATTGTGGCCTGTGACCAGTTCGCTCTTCAAAATGTTTAGCACCCCTGATGTAAAGCATATCCTAAAGTATTAAGTATTTGTATTGCTCCAGCTGATGAAGGTGATGGAAGTTTAGGGGAAGGTAAGCTCATCATTTTCACAGGTGTAAAATAGACAATTTTAAAGGGTGACTACAATAGTCACCCTTTAAAAATATCAAGCACTTTCATTCCTGTTAATAAGATGATTTATTTGTGATGCTGAGGCCCTCCGACTTCTTTGGTAGAAGCCTGGTTTATCTTCTGTGTTTCCTGCCTGTCCATCATACTGTAGATAAAATAATGAGCCTCTTGTGTTTGTGAACAGGGGCAATTCATGCATCTTGACCTCTTACTATCTGACATTGTCATTTTGTCTCCTTTAAGTTTTGATTTAAGTCTATTTTCTCCTCCTTAGTATGAGTTCAAAGCGAAGAACATCAAAAAGAAGAAAGTGAGCCTCTTGGTGTCTGTGGATGGAGTGAAAGTGGTCCTAAAGAAGAAAAACAAGGTGATAGACATTTTACTGTGGGGTAATAGTAAATTGTCTATTTTGGTCAGAGTAACCAGCATTAAATAACAACGTTGTGTTCATTTTTAATCATACATTATGGATCTGATTATCATATTATTGTTATTATCATTATTAACTTTTTATTAGCTCATTTATGGTTTCATCATAGTCTGTGTATCCCCATAGAAAGTAAAATATAAAGTGAAAAATATTTTTCTTTTGAGTTAACAACGATTTATATTAATCTTTTTATTTTTAAAAAGAATCCTAACATCTATATTGTAAAGCGCTGAGCATATTGTAAAGCACTGAGCAAACTGTTGGCGCTTTATAAATCCTGTATAATAATAATAATAATCTTACTGAAATATTGATCAGAGGTTGGTCTAGATTAGAAGGTTGTAAAAGATTTTTCCTCCCTCCTGAATCGTTTATTGCTGTGTCTATTTTATGTACTTGTCATTTGTAGTGTATTTGTGTATTTATGATGTGTTTTATATATATATATATATATATATATTCCCTATCCTTCTTTTTCCAGTGCCATTGGAAATGATGGTGCTCTGTATGATAATCAGTATAATTAGGTGGCCATATTGTCCCAAATAAGGTTTGTTTGCAGAGGGATCCTTATTTCCTGAATTCTCCTAAATTTGGATCATAATTTCATCCAAATTATTTTTAATTTGACTGTGAGCAGATTCCCATGTGTGTTGCCAAGGATTCTTTTTAGGCGAAAAAAACGCAGTGGAAATACATTTCCCTTCTAGCAGACATGTTGTTACTAGTATTTGTTGCCATTAACTGCAGTCAGTGCAATAGATAGTTATGATTTTTTTCTTAGGTCCACTTTGAACAGGTCCTGAGAGCAACAAGAGCACTGCCGTTGCTGAGTTCTACAGATGCTAGTTGCCTGGCTGTCATACTGATCCTTTGACTTCAAGTCACTAATTTCTAACCAGTATACAACTAAAGTGTTTTGACTTAAATCCAGCTTCCTTGACTTTATATGTATGCCAGGTCAGTGTCTTAGAAGGTATTGAAGCCACTGAGCAATAGCATTTTCAGAAAGCGATTCGAAATGACCGCCTACATGTTTCTCTCGGGGAATGTTCACTTTAAAGTGTTATTCAACCCAGAAGACTAGCAACAGCTGCAGCATAGTCAAGTGGTAGCAGAAACAGATCCATAATATTCATCCATGTCCGGAAGTTGTAATATTCAGAAAATACACAACAAACCGTAAATGACAAGAATGACATTGTATTATTCTGCTCTTATAAAGCATTTTAGATATTGTAATAATTATAGACCATCTACAAGATAAAAACAAAACGGACATCTTAGCCATAGACAAAGTTAATGCATGCATATAAAACAACCAGTAATACACATTTTTGTACTATTTCTCTCTATTCTGCACCATTTTTACTTTGCTCAGCAAAGTCATCCTAGTGCTTTTGTTAATTTCCTTAGTTAATTTCCTAACAATACCCTCAATAGCTTTTATAGACACATTGTTCTTTCAGGACCTCAGCTTGTCCAGCATAACACTCCACCTTGCCTTGTTTCCAAGGATGAAGAAGAATGTACTCTTAGTTAGACCAATCCATTTATGGGGTAATATGTTATTCCATGAAGGAGAATTGCCAGCACTGCCTCACTACTCCTTCCTCCGTTGCAACTTTCACTATGATCACCAGTGTGGGCAACCAGGGAGGGTGGTGACATTGCTTTCCCTGTCACATGACAAGTCTTGGGTCTAGCAATTGGCTTCTATATCTGAGCACTGTCACCAGAGAGGAGGTGGCATGCTTCTCCATACCTGGAAGTAAAAAAAAACAAAAAACCTTTGGCTTTAGATATGCGTGCAGGGTATGTATCTCACTCCCTACAAAGAACCCCCTTCAACACAATTATAAACATGGCAGACATGACATCACCATCTGCCATGTCTATAATTGTGTTGAAGGGGGTTCTTTGAAGGGAGTGAGATACATACCCTGCATGCATATCTAAATCCAAAAGTTTTTTTTTTTTCCCGCTTAGCATGGTGAAAAAGCCTGCCTTTTAGTTAGCATGGTTAAAAGACTTCCTATCCCAAAGATACAGAAAGAAGTTAGAGGAAATCTCTCCAAAGTGAAGGAAACCAACTCTTAGACTGTTGTCACCAGAATAGGTGACAGCTCAGAATGTTGGACATTTTCTGTCCCAGTGATTGGCTTTAGGTCTACTTAAATGCTTTTATTGCCTATATTAATACTAATGAATCCTTTATTTCCTGCACTTCTAGCCCCAGTCCAGGGGACTCCAAACTTTCTAAACAAAGGGCCATTTTACTGTCGTTAAGATTTTAGGGGGCCACACTGTGAGAGAAAACAATGCCTTGTCTTTGGTATTAGGGAGAGAAGTAGTTGGTGTTAGTGGGAGGAATAGTGCGCCATCATTGGTGAGAGTGGAAAGAATAGTGCCCTGTTGTTGGTGTCATTGTCATGAATTATGTCCCATGGTTGGTGTCAGTGGGAAGAATTATGTCCCATTGTTTGTGTCAGTGGCAGGAATAATGCCTCAAGGGCCAGATAAAAGGCAAGTAAAGGGCCACTTCCAACCCCTGGGCCACAGTTTGGAGTCTGCTGCCCTAGTTGTGTAAACTTTTTAAATTTTTAGAGGGTATGAGCCCTGGAGCTTGGTCAGCTATAAGGACCACGTCTGTTGCCAGTTGTCTATATCCAATTCAACGTCATTTGTGGTCACATTGCACCAACAATCTTGGAAATAGACAACTCCTCAGATGATGTGCTATAGAGAAAGATGCAAGCTATTACTTATTAGAATTTTTGTTTTTATGTATATGAATATAGTGCACTGATACAATGTAAAGGTTACTGCACCTTGTCCTTGATCTCTGTGCTTTTTTTAGTCCAGATATTTTGTAATAGGGCATGTGGTGGACATAAAAAAATGGAATTATCGGAGTAAACGTTTTACTCTTGTTGCAGAAGAAAGAGTGGGCCTGGGATGAGACAAAGATGCTGATTATGCAAGATCCAATCTACAGGTTAGCATTTGATATGTGTACCTATCACCAGTCTTTACTTTGTAAACAGGCAGCAAATAAAATAACAGGCACCTAGTGTCATCCATTTTTCAAAGTACCTCGGGAATCTTTTGACGTTGACTTTGACCTGCCTTCACTAGCTTCCCATACCTCACCGATGGTCCATCAATGTGATGGGAGACCATTCTGATAAAAACTGAGATGACAAAGAGGGTATACCATAGCATCAACCTCTTGATTGAAGTCGGGATTTGCTTTGAATGGCACTCTGTATAAAGCTAATAATGTGTCCAAACATTTGGAGGCACTTCCTATTACATTTTGTTGCCAGTTTAGTTATGTAAAACTAGTTACAAAGTTTTTTTTGGTTTGTTTGTTGCTTTGACCTCCAGGATAAAAAAGGAAAGTACCTCCCCCTTATTGCAATGCCGCATTGTCATTTTACCAAGCTGTTGCAATGAGTGCAGAAGTCTGTTCAGCATTGACCTACATCAGGAGTGATTACTGTAGCTGTTCCTACTGCTGTTCACTTATGTGCTATGTTGTAACATATACTACAAAAAAAAAATAACAGCTCACATGTAATTGGTTGTTGTGGACAACGTCTTTAGACTACATTTTTTTTTTGTTTGTTTGTTTTTTTGAATACTTGAGGCCACCCGTTTAAGAAGCCCATTTGTTTTGAAGAGGGTTTGACCTATAGTTGGCTGATTTCACCTGCTGCGCTCTTTAAAAGTTCAAATATAATGGGACTCTTAGAGCTAAAAGGTTATTAAAGTACTGTGAACAGTAGCCTCTGAGTCTTATTTGATGTGGTGATTTTGTAGAGGATTAGTTTTTGGAGGTAATACATTTTGAGTAATCCATTAATCTGTTTATTATTATAATATTTTCCATTCCATTCTTTTCTTGAAAAAAAAAATAGAATATTCTATGTGTCTCACGACTCCCAGGATCTCAAGATCTTCAGCTACATTGCTAGAGATGGGTCCAGCAACATTTTTCGCTGCAATGTCTTTAAATCCAAGAAAAAGGTACGTCGATGATATGGCATTTTTTATTATTTAGTGGTTCCCACTGCAGTTTTCTATTGAACACCTGCTAGGTAATATTGTAGATGAATGTCCTGCACACACTAGATGAGTCATAACCATAAATCAAATTGGTGCATTTGCAAGCATGAAGTTGCAAGCACAGCACAATATTTAGGTTGTTCAGGCATTTCCCAGCATGTGTTCCACTACTCAAAGTGGTTGTAAACCTCAGATATGAAATCTGAACAAAGGATATACCTTTGTAGTGTGCGCTTGCTACAATTACGACAACGTGCCATTTTTATCTGCTGCTTCATTCCTTTGCTCTAAGAATGAGTCATTTCTGACAAGTTTTCCTGACACCAAGAGAAAAATGGTGACAGGAGAAGGACTTTCAGCAGATTGACAGGCTCAGCTCTGTTGCTGTGTAAAGGGGTGTGTCCCCATTCCTTCCATCAGCCCTCAGAGCTCTCCTCACTGATTTAACCTTAGCTACCTGCCCCTTGCTTTTTGGAGCTGGGAGATCCTGTGTAAATTCTACACTTTGAATGGATGTAGGGGAAAAACAGCTGCAGATAAACAGGTACAACTTGTGTAGAATGATTTGTTTCATCTTTGTGTATCATCTTTGCACTTGTTAGTGTATAGTTAGTATTGCACGGCCCAGCATCGGGGTGAATTTACTAAAGGCAAACAGACTGTGCACTTTTCCCAGAGCTTAGTAAATGTGCTAAAGCTGCACTTTGTAAATAATACCCAATCAGCCACAAGGAAAATAAAATAAACACCATATATATTAGCACATGATTGGATGATGGAAATCAGCAGAACTTTACCACTTTTACTAGGCTCTGGGGAAAATTAGTGCAACTGTACTTGTAAAGTGCACTGTCTATTTGCCTTTGGTAAATCCACTCTACTGCGTCTGTCTTGTTACAGGAGTGCTGCTGATTTTTTTTCTTCTATGCTGCAGGTTAACAGACACCATTGCAAGTTTAAAAGCAAGGGGGTTATAACTTGTGCTATGGGATGGTTGCATCTTATTTTGGGACATCCCTGAAAAATATCCCCTCCCCAGTGCTAAAGAACATGCAGACTATTCTCATCTTGCCGAGAGATGCACAGTAATGATCTGCTGTATGCCATAATGGCTGCTGTGTGATGCATGTATGTGACCTGGATTTCCTTGATATAATCTATGCATTATCACAATACCTATGAGGTTTCTGCCAAAATGACCACAGGTTGAGTTTTTTTCAAGCCTCACTAAAGGATCAATTCTCTAATAATTAAATACCACATGTAATTTTGAGTCAAAATAACTCGTGCGGTATTTAACTCATGAACGTACAGTTCACAAAAAATGCATGTTAAATATAAATGCTCCATTAGTTACATTTTTTATTTTGCTGTTTTAACCTCAGTTTTTGCACATTAATTTAAGGCAGTCAGAATCTCTAGTTGCAGCATGAAGTGAAACAATTAGCAGTGGTTTTCCTACCACTGCTAAATTTGACAGTTCAGCTCAGGGCTGCAGGATGTTAAGGAGCCAGCACTGGCATCCTAACAACTGTCACTTATCCAGAATGTAAACAAAAGAGGCAGCAGTTAAAAAAAAAATTAAAAACTGCATGCGGCTCCTCCCCAATCCATACTAGGACCTTTTGTTTTGTTTTTTTTCTTTTTTGGCGTGAGCCTTCCCCACCCAAAATCCATACCAAACCCGAAGATCCTGTTATGGATTTGGGAGGGCCAGGGACTGCACATGATTTATATTTGTTTTTTTTGTTTTTTTTAAGGTCTTTTCTTTACACTTTGCTGTTAGTGGGGTATCCCTGCCGACAACAGATGAGTCACTGGTTGTTAAGGACATGGCAGGTGCTGGCTCCTTAACTGCCAGCTATTCACTGGTCGTTGGGGATACCAGCAAGTGCTAGTATTTATTAAATACCGCGTACCTAGACTACGACTTATTTAAGGAATGTTTTTGTTTACTTTTTTGTGAATTGATCTTTAGGCTAGGTTCACACCTATGCAGTTTTCCTTTGATCCATTTCTGCAGTGCTTTTTTGCGGTGCGTTTTTGATGCGTTTTGCGTTTTGTTTTTCTCAACTTGTTGCTGGGCAGAAAAAAAAAAAAAAACGCAAAACACATCAAAAACGCACTACATGCTTTTCTGCAGCGTCTCCTTTGAAGTCTATAGTACCAAAAGTGCAGTGTTTTCCATTTAAAAAAGTCCCTGACCCTTTCCAAAAAACGCATCGGGTGAAAACGTGGAGATGTGAACCTGTCCCATAGGAAATCATGCTGTGCATTTCTGAAAAACGCAAAACGCAATGGAAAACGCTTAGGTGTGAACCTAGATTTAGACAGGTTTATGTGGTATTTACCAAGTGTTTTTTTTTTTGCGGTAAATACTGCATAAGCCTGTAGTGAATTTACATTTTTCATATCACATAAGATATTTCGGTTAAATATATCACATGACCTAAATATCTTATGTGATATCCTTATGTGAACTGACCCCATAGTCTATACAGTAATTGTGTTTGGAGGAAAGCAACCTGATTCTCCCTATGAGTACAGCCAATAGATGGTGTCATTGATATGTTTTTTTGCCATTCCTCGTTTTCCAGGTATAGTAAACTCCTTAGGGCACAGATAGCTATGGAGATGTGCAATTAGAAGATTTCATCCTTCTGCATTCCACTTATGGAAAGATGAATTGTGAGAGGTTGCTATGGGTTGATGAAGTTTGGTTTAGTTACTCATAAGCCCTTATGACTGCAGTAGCAGCAATAATTGTGTTCAGGAGGATTTTATATTAATCTTTTTTACTTATTGTCATCATCATTATATGAACAGTTTTCATGCCTTACATGATGTAATGGTTTCTGACTCATACAGTAATAAAAGCCAGTGGCCTCCAGCCGTTCTCCTTGCCATTAACTCTCTATAAAGAGACAGCATAGTCACTTGTGACTCTCAGCCGCGCTTCCCTGTTGTTTACAGTGCGGTGTCTAAGAGAGTCTTGGATATTAAAAGGAGAACATGGTGGTCCCTTATTTCATTACTGCCTGTTTCCATGGAGAATTTAATATCTAAAGCTCCCGGGTCGCAGCTAAAATAAATCTGTCTGCTGAAGTTTGTTTTTCTCGTTGCGGCTTTCGGACATTGTACGTCGTGGAAAGGAACGTGTTTCGGCTGAACAGAGCTAGTACATTAATGGAAGAAAAAATCTCCCTTACCAGCTACGTTCTGCTTAGTGACTGCAAAGTCCAGGAAGGAAGTTACCAATATGAAAATAGTTTTAGGGCGAACTTCACTTCTCAATTGTAACTTGATTCTGTAATATCCGGGAAATGTTATTAAATTATTGGCACATCTCAAAAATGCCTTTGGGGATTTATTGACTGAGAGAGATGCACTGCAAGAATATTGCTTTCTGAATACTGAACCTAGTTCTGTTCTATTCATACAACATTTTCATCCATAATCATAGATCATGTTTATGTCCCTTTTTTTACATCCCGTGTAATACAAAAAGAAAAAAAATGTTGTTCCCTTTCAGAAGCGCTGAAGGCTTCTTACTCCCATTCAGCAGGCATGCTCCATCTTCCTCTTATTTCTCCTCGTGGTTCTTCTCCACCACCCTGCCTATTCTCCTTTGCAGAAAAAGACCCCTTTGGTTGCTGGGGTGGTAATTTGTTGTGGGGGGTCCATTGTTGCTGGGGAGGGGTCCATTGTTGTGTGGGGGATCAGTTGCTTATGGCTGCAGGGATCTACTGTATTTTACTGCTTTTCTTGTTATCATTAACACATTACATACAAATTACTTAGCACCACAAAATTTGTGGTTCCATATTCTTTAAGAGGAGCTGTATTAGGAGGTGTGCAGGAGGTGGAACCAAGGTATGGTGCTTGGAGGTGGGTAAAGGCCCCCTCTACCTACCTCCAAGCACCGTACCTTGGTTCCATCCCCTGCACACCTCCAGACTAGGGGTGACTCAAAAGGTGGGGTGGTCCTGTACCAAATCTCCATGGAAAAAAAGCTCTGCAGACACTACATGCAGCCCACAGGGCACACATATTCTGAGAACTCACACAGGGCACAAATAGTCCGAGAATCTGTGGTGTGTCCAGAATATAATGAGACCAAAGGTTCTACACTTAAGAAGGGCTTTATGAAGGGAGAAGCTGGCCAAGGTCATTTGAGTGGAGGGGCAGACTTACAACTCATGGGGCCCCCGGGCAATAGGGGATCATGGAGCCCCTGTGTCCTTGCCCAAACTCAAAAAAGGCCTATGAAAAAGGTACCAGGGGCATCCCATGGGGCCCCTACTGACCCCGGGCCCTCGGGCAGTGCCCGAGTTTCCAAATGGTCAGTCCGCCCCTCTTGGGTGGGGTGTCAGGTATACGTTAGAACACTGATCAGTTGCATTCCAGCCCTGTCAAAGTTGAGACATTTTGTTTGTGACACCCTGTTTAAGTGCCTCGTAATAAGAAAAATGCAAGTGAGTTTTGGAACAGGGAATACAATTTTGTGTGAAATTGGGTAAAAGCGCATCAGAAATTTTGAAATGGTGAAGAAAGCTTAAGGAGAAGGTGCACTATCATCTGCACAAGTGTACCAATGGCACAAGGCCTTCAAGGAAGGATGACAAGGTGTTAAAGATGAAACAACGATCAGAACGCCCCTCTTCATCAAAAATGGAACAGAATGTGGATGCAGTGAGGTTTGTTCTCAGCCGTGACCGACGGCTCACTATCAGAATGATTGAAGAGGAAATGGGAATTACCAAGTCTGTTGTTCATGAAATTGTGATTCAGGATTTGAACATGAGAAAGGTGTGTGCAAAACTTGTTCCAAAGAACTTGTCACTTGATCAAAAGGAACGCTGTCAACTCATTTTCAAAGACCTGTTGGCCGCTTGGAAAGAGAGCCTGATTCATCACGACAGTGCTGTCAGAGAATTTTTGGCTGAAAAACACATCACCTG